ATGAACTTCACACTGTTCTGATTATTGCTTCATTATGGTAACCACATGCACCTTTTCTTTGGTGATTAAGTGCCGCTACTTGGCCACTGCTACCCCAGGATCCAATCACCGTCATTGCACTTAGTTTTCCCAATTCAGTGGCAACAGTTCTCACTGCAACATCTGACCTACAGAGAGAAGTGATCGCGGTGTTCTTTAAGGATGTTGGTGCTCCCCAAACAAATTTATTTCTCCTAGTCATGAGGAAAGATGTGCCTGCTGGTCACTCCTGGGGTTTGTTGATGAATCTGACATGATAAATCTACTCTAATATTCCAATTTCTCCAAGCCTTTGAATACCTTCTTCTACGGAATACCAACCAGTTCTGGAATTTTAATTTAATTTACTCTAGGCAATCTTTGGTCTACGTTTCAGTCAACAAAGCAGCAAATCCCTTAGATCCCTTCTAAACCCCTCATGCTGAAACACTGACTGTAGAATCTATGTGGGCCCAGAACTATAAATTCTGGAGCTCTAGTGGCGTAGCACCTAAAGCATTTGACTGCTAACCAGAAGGCTGGAGGTTCAAACCCACCAGCCACTCCTCAGAAGGAACACTGGGCAATCTACCCTACAGAGATACTGCCCAAGGAGGGGTCATTATGAGTCAGAGTTGACTCGACAGCAGTGAGTTTGGTTTCTTTAACTATAAATTCAGACTGATCCAAATTTATGTTCTTTCCATCATTATCCCATACCCTTAGTATCCATTCCCACATATATCCCTGGATTTCTTTCTGTATAAATTTGAAAAATTGATCAGTTCTTTTGAAATGTAGCACACCTCCTCATGGGTCACATTTTCTATCTCACCTTTCAGGGCCTACTGGAACCTGAGTCTAGTTATAGGTCTAGATGCGAAGACAGGTGGTGAGAGCGGGTCCTAGAGACAATGAACAATGCATTTCAAGGCTTCTGCCTCAGGGGAGGTCTTACAAGTTTCTCAGACAAAGCTGAATTCATTTCCTCAGATGGGGCTGGAAGGGCTACTTGTGCCAACAAAGAAGACTAAGCAGAATTTAGAGGCTCAATGTCCCCACTTTCATCAGGATCTGTCCATATGTCTCCATTCCAATTTTCAGATCCCATTTCTTCCCAGTAAGTGAGGTCTCTTTAACATCAGACACCCTGTGAGATTGGGAATTCAAGGGATGTTTTAATTAAGCCAATCATAGGACAAGACTTTGTGTTTGGTGTTCAGCAATCTCAATGCTTTGGCAACAGGACATAAGGTTTTCTTTCAGGGCACACATAGCAACTTTCTGGTTATTTACATGGTGCTCAACCTGGGAATTTGAAACCCTGAGCTCATCTGTTTCTTTCCCTATTTTGTCCAGGAACAGTAGGAGGAACCAGCCAATGTCCTTATACTTTGAATTCTGAGGTTCAAATAGTTGATGATCCAGGACTTGGCTTCTCATAGGTATTTGATTAAGTGTATCCAATAGTGTAGCTATGAGATGAAACTGATTTGCCTGCACCCAGCAACTCACTCACTGCCAACGAGTCAATCCCCACTCACAGCAACCCAATTGAGTTTCCAAGGTGATAAATCTTTGTGGAAGTAGATTGCCACATCTTCCTTCTGCAGAGATGCTGACGGGTTTGAACCACCAACCTTCTGGTTAGCAGTCAAATGCCTTAGGTACTGTGCCACCAGAGCTCCTTATCTAACAACTAGTGTCACATTATGCCTTAGTCTATCACTGTCCTCTTTACCACTACAAATGGAGTCATTAGTGCCTTTCAATCTAACCAGATTTGAGAACCAACTCCAGAACCCCAAACAACAATTCAGGAAACTCATTCTCAAGATTTTGTTCCTCTAGAACCACTCTTAAAACCAAAATATATTAGTTAGAGAGAGACACACAGAGAGAAATGTAGAGAGAAATTTTAAAGAATTTGCTTACGTAATTGTGGGGTCCTATCAAGTCCAAAATTTGTAGGTCAAGTGACAGGCTGGACATTCTTGCAGTCTTGTCTCAAATTCATAAGTCAGGCCACAAGAAGTGTGAAAGAGTTTTGGAAATTTTTCTATTTAGGCAGAATAAACCTTTGACAGAGCTCCCTTTTTCCTCTTAAGTTGTGCAACTGATTTGCTGAAGCCCACTCATATTATGGAGGGTAATCTGCTTTCCTTAAGGTCAACTGACCTACTCAAGAGGCTCAGAGAACACCAGGTAGAATAAATACCAAAAAATCTATGCTTAGGCATATCATATTCAAACTGCAGAAAATCAAAGAAAGAGAAAACTCTTTTAAAAAAAAATTGTCAAAGGAAAAATCCATAAAGAAAAATGGGTAAGAATTAAATTGAAGAAGAATACATTGGCATAAAATATTTAAAGTCTTGAAAGAAAAGTAATCCAACAAACAAACAAACAAACAAACAAAAAAAAACACCTAGAATTCTGTTGTCACTAAAATCATCCTTCCTTCAAAAGTGAAGAAGAAATAAAGACTTTTTCAGAAGAATAAAAATTGAGGGAATTTGTTACCACTAGACTTGTATTGCAAGAAATGTTTGAAAAAAAAGTTTTTCACAGAAAAGGAAAATATGCCAGAACCTCAGATCTACATAAAGAAAAAGAGAAGTAACACATTGAAGTGAATTTACATTATTTACTTTTCTTAGCCATAACTGATCCAATTAACAGATAACAGTTTGTTTAAGATGATAATAACAACATTATATTGGATGAGTCTAGCTTATGAATAAGGAAATGTATGACAGTAGAATTCTAAGGGATAAGAGGGAAGAACTAGGAATTCTCTGTTAAAAGGTATTTGTACTACCAATAAAGCAGTACAGTGTTCTTTTAAATGAACTTAGGTTAATTATACATGTATATTGAAAACTCCAGAGTCACATAATGATGAAGGGGTCACAATAATCATGAATGTATATATTTTGAAGAACAGCCAAAATGTGTGAGGCAAAAACTGATAGACCTTCATGGAGAAAAGACAAACCTACTATTATAGGGGATAATTCACAGCCCTGTACCAGTGATTGAGAGATCAAGCAAGCAGAAAATCAGTAAGGAGATAGTTGAACTGAACATAAACCCATTGCTGCTGAGTCAATTCCATCTCATAGTGACCTGTAGGACAGAGTAGAATGGTCCCATAGAGTTTCCAAAGCTGTAGTCTTTACGGAAACAGACTGCCATATCTTTCTTCCATGGAGCTGCTGGTGGGTTTGAACTGTCAACCTTTCAGAAAGCATCCGAGTATTTTCTGAATCCTGGGGGCTCCTTTGAATTCAACATGCCATCTGTCAAATGTATGTAATTGACATTTATAAAATACTTCATCCAACAGCAGCAGAATACACACATTCCTCCCAAGGTCACATGGAATATTCACCAAGATAAACCACATACTAGGCCATAAAATACACCATAAAAAATTTAATAGAATAGAAATAATACAAAATATACTCTCAGAACACAACTGATTTAAACTATAAATCAATAAAAGCAATAGCTAGAAAATAACCAAATATTTGGAAGATTAAAAAGCACATTTCTGAATAGCACAAGGGTCAAAAGAAGAGTCTCAAGAAAAGTGAAATACATAGAGAGAGAGAGAGAGAGCTGAATGAAAATTTGTGAGCTTCAGTAAAAGCAGTGCGTAAGGGGATAGTTAGAGCACTAAATGCAGAGGATACTTAGAGCACTAAATGCAGAGTCGGAAGTAAATGGCACTGAAGGGACCCATGCTTCCTGCTGTCCCTCTTCAGGATTCAAATCACTTTACCTTTTTTTAGGCTGTATCTGTCAAAGACAAAGATATGGTCAAAAATTCTCAAGAGAACAGTGCTAAGAGAGGTTTTAGGCACAATTTAGCTACTTTAGGTTGTTGGTTTTTCCAGGAGGAAGAACCAGACCAACTGTATAGATTTGTGTCTGTTTAAAGGTACATCTCCCCTCTATGTTCATTCTGTTCTGGTCATAAACAAACACTACTAATAATAGTTATCACTGTGATTGTAATGTCCTTCATCAGAATGTACGAGAGACAAAGTTCTGGGCTCCTGGAGTCTTCTGAAGGCATCTCTGAGATTGAGGAGGTCTCAATCTCAGAAGGAAAGAGAGGCAAAAAAGCTGTTTCACAAATATTTCTAGATAGATTCATGAATGATGGGGCTAATCCAGCCACATGGAGAAAATAATGAACCTCCAGGTTGAAGACACTGTGTTTCTATGACACCAAGTCAGCTGTTGCTCCATGTTGGCATATTATCTGTGTCATATTAAGCATTTTGTATAAAAACAATCAACACCAGAATCAACATCAATGGAAGCAGCAGTCACGACATCAGACGACTTATTAAATTGGGTAAATCTGCTGCAAAAGACCTCTTCGAAGTACTGAAGAACAAAGACATCTCCTTGAAGGCCAAGGTGCACTTAACCCAAGCCATGGTATTTGCAATCACCTCTTAAGCACATGAAAGCTGGACAATGAATAAGGAAGACCAAAGAAGAGTTGATGCTTTTGAGTTGTACTGCTGGAGAAGAATGCTGAGAGTACCATGGACTGCTAAAAAAACTAACAAATCTGTCCTAGAACAAGTGCAGCCAGAATGCTGCTTGGAAGCAAGAATGGCCAGATGTCATCTCACCTACTTTGGTCATGCCCTCAGAAGGAACCATTCTCTGGAGAAGGATATTATGCTTGGTAAAGTGGAGGGTCAACGAAAAAGGGGAAGTCCTGCAACAAGATAGATTGACACAGTGGCTGCAACAATGGGCTCAGGTATAGCAAGGATCGTAAGCATGGCATAGGACCAGGCAGGGTTTCATTCTGTTGTACGTAAGGTGGCTGTGAGTCAGAGATGACTCAACGGCACCTAACACCACCACCAACAATGTCATAACTATGTACACATTTTATGGGTTAAGGTACTTCTAACAGTGTGAATCTGTCCGAAATCTCAGAATCTGTGAATTTAGCAGTGCCCTCTCTTCTTTTGCAACCTCTCCAAGGCATCTTTGATCTCCTTGTTCCTCAGGCTGTAAATCAGGGGATTCAACAAGGGAATCACCATAGTGTAGAAGATGGATGCAAATCTGTCAAAGTTCAAGGAGCTACCAGAGCTGGAACTCAAATAGACAAAAATGCTTGGGGTATAAAAGAGGGAAACAGCTGTGAGGCGGGAAGCACAGGTGTTGAAAGCTTTGGACCTGCCTTGAGCTGATGTGATCTTCATGATGGTAATGATAATAGAGCAGTAGGATATCGTGATGACTAGAACATTTGCTATCCCAAAAATCATTGTGAATACAGCAGTCATGACTTGTATGAACAAAGTGTCAGAGCAGGACAAGGTTAACAGTTGGGGCATGTCACAGAAGAAGTGGTTGACAACATTAGGCCCACAGAAGTGGAGCTGAAGCAAGGTGCATAATTGGGATAAAGAAGCAGAAAGTGCAGCCATATAGACTCCCAACATCATCTGAACACAGCTTGTGGGTGACATGATGGATGAGTAGACCAGTGGATTACGAATGGCAGCATACCGATCATAAGCCATGGTTGTCAAAAGGCAAGACTCACTCAGTCCCATGGTTGAAAAGATGAAGTTTTGAACAATGCAGCCCACAACGGTGATTATTTCCTGCTCTTGGAAGAAGCTGGAGAGCATCTTGGGAACAGTGGAAGTAACATAGGAGATATCTATGAAGGACAGGTTACTAAGGAAGAAGTACATGGGAGTATGGAGATGGGAATCTATCCTTAGTAAGACAAGGAGGCCCAGGTTCCAGGTTAGAGTTATAACGTAGATCCCCAGGAATATAGCAAAGAGCACTGCTGTGAGTCTGGGAAAATCTGAGAATCCCAATAGGATGAAGTACGTGATCTCTGTAAGGTTTCCTTCCCCAGTCATTGGCCTGGTGCCCCTGAAATCAATGGTGACAAGAGAATACATTGTTGACTCAAGTAAAATGAGAGCATTTTCACACGTCAACCTTTTCTTCCACTGAGCACTGGTAAAGGGGAAATGCTTCACTCTCTTTGTGGTAGAAAGAACTCTCAGCTTTTCACCTTAAGTTAGTCAAGGTGTAGTTGCTCACCTTCCCATTTAACTCAAGGAGTCTCAAGAGAATGAAAAAAGACTCTTTCAAATGAGTGGCAACTTTGAAAAAGTGCTATAGAAATGCAGTGATTATTATACGTAAGTGCAGATCATTGATTAAAATAGAAGTAATTTTAAAGATCCCTGATAATTCATTCCATGATTGATGTGTATAATAATAAAAGTATAAATGATATCTTCCCAGAATAAATTTGAAATAACCTTTCTGTTCTGGATTATTTTCTAGATAGATTTGAATAATTTCCTCCTTTAACCTAAAGAAAAGTTATGTGTCTTTTTCAAAACAGTTTCTCAAATTTTTACAAATGTATGTAGCACAACATCACTAAACTGGACTTATATAAAAACAAAATTTACAATTTTGGTAATATTTTGATAGGCCAAAAGTGTGTGTTCCCAATAAGGTTATGGAATCAGTCTCTCATGGAGGCCTTCATACTAAGGATTCCAAAGGGAAGTGAATACAGCTCACTATTGGTTTCAACTATTATCTCAGTTTTAGGGAATATTTCCTTTTGGGAAACAGCATAGTACTGTGGTTAAGAGTTTTGGTTTTGACAATCAATTAGGATACAGAATGGAAAATACAAATTCTCAGGTAAGTTAGCCAAGGTGAGTTAATTTCCTTGAAAATATAAATTCTCACAAACAATATCCCCAAAACAGTAACATAATTGGTCAACTGGGTAAAAATAAGCCCAACAATTGATCATGAGTTGCACTAAAATTTTTCTTTTGTTAAGACATTTCAGTGAGAGAGACAGTCATAATGAAATGCAGTCTTTGTAACCCATCATTCCCAGAAAAGAATAAGTAATTGTTAGTTGTGTCTCTTACCCATGATAAAACATATTCTGAAAATTTCATGTGTTAAAATTTGGTAAGTGAGAAGATAAAGAAAAAAGCTCTGGATGCATCCACTCTCTTTGATGAACTTCTTTGTACGACTCACCATTGCCCAAGATAATTTGAAGAAAATTTAACTGATGTGAATAATGATCAGATCTCTAGCTAATCAAAACAGTTTTCAACATTGTTCTAATAACAACACAGTCAGGTTCCTAGGTCTAGGTTGATGCTCAGTAGAAAATCATGTAAAGAAACCCAGGAAAGTTTGTGAATGAAGAACAGTACAAGTAAAGGGAAATTAAAAGAGACATTTAGACCAATACTACCTGTGCTAGAGTTGGATGTCTCTAGTGTCTTCAGATTCCCAAGGTCTCTAAAGATGACAATGAAGAACAGTTTTAAGTATTTCAAAAGACCTAATGGAATGGTACATGAGTACTTTGGGGTCAACTCATAGTTATAACATTATATAGTGACTCCATATGCTTATTGCTACTGAGAAATTGGGAGCTCTGGTAGCATAGTGCCTAAGGCATTTGACTGCTAACCAGAAAGCTGGCAGTTCAAACCCACCAGCTATTCCTTGGAAGGAAGATGGGGCAATCTACTTCCATAGTGATACTGCCTCGGAAACCCAAGGAGGGGTCGCTATGAGTTGGGTCCGACTTGATGGCACATAACAACAACAACAACTGAGAAATTATGAACCAATGTAGTATATATAAATGGAATTTAAATGAATTGTTACTGTCAAAACCGAATACTCAAGGGAACAATTAAATTTAAAAAGGTCTGTGGGGTGGAAAAAGTTGAGAAACTCAGACCTGCATGTTTTGATCTTAGGAAATCCTCCTGAAAACCAGCTAATTGTCATTTTTTATTCAGTTCTGAATCATTGACTTTGACAATGCATTTAGCTTAACAAGCACTGTTTTATTTAATTCTAGATGATCCTATTATCCCCCTTTTACAGGTGAAAAACAGAAAGTAATAGAGTTCAAGGTCATATACTTAAGAAATTACAGAACTAGAATTCAACCATCACACCACCCCAGAGCAATGCCTGAAATTTTACATTTGAGGCTATTCTTATCACCAAAGGTTAGAAAACTAACAAAGATTCATAGAGAATTTGGGCAAGAAGAAAGAGAACCTGAGAAAAGTTCTGAGTGCAGGGTGTGAGAGTGATGGAGAAGGAGGGAATGCAGTCTACGTAACCCAGAATATGAGGGACTGAGGACCATTAATCCTGTCCCAGGTAGATCCTTAGGAGAATCACATGGATACTGAAGATAGGGCAGAATCCTCTGGTCTCTCTAAGTTCTATCCTATGACTTTGACCCAGATACCTCAAGAACACAAAATTCTTACAAAAGGTTAAAAATGCTTATTTCTTTTCAAAAGCAATCTTCCAAGTGGACCATATTATACTCTAATATCTTTGCTGGTCCATGAAATTGGTTGTCCATGCACATACAGCAAGAGATATGTCCACAACTGGGCATCCTTTTAAATAGGGCAGAAAGGAAAGGAGACAAGCCAACTAGAGGGAGGAAATTCTCCAGGAAATGCTCTCTGGTGTATGGTTGTCATGGAGTTTTGGTCTCTGCTGATTTTATGCACCACTTTGCCATGTCTCTGCTGAATCCACTTCCCACTTCCCTGGATCCTACCATGACTCATGACTACAAGATTTTCTTAATGATTTTGAAAGCATTTGGGCCACAAAAAACCTAGGGATCATCTAGTCTAATACCCTCATTTTTTTTTTCTTTTCAAATAAAATGGACCCAACAACCTCAGAGTCCTTGGCTCTAACATGGAGAAACCACCACCTTCATGACAGTATCCCTGTAAGAATTAGATTACTCTCAATTTTTGGATGAAGAACCTGACAACAGAGAAGCTAAGGGATTTGCTCAAGATGACACAGATAGTTGGTAATGAATCTTAATATCAATAAATCATTTAAGACTACATCTCCTTGCGTACTAAACATTTTCATTGTTGATGCATACATAAATTTTCAAATATATGGCCTGAATCAATCATCACAGAAGCCCAGGAGGCAGATCGGCCTGTGTTCCTATGCAGAAGAGAGGACACCAAGGCATTAAGGAACACAATGACAGTAATTCATGATGGTGACCACTTGTCCGTCAGTTTGCTGTACTGTGGTGGCTTGCGTGTTGCTGTGAAGCTGACAGCTTTGCCATCAGTATTGGATACACCTGCAGGGTCAGCCATGGGGAACAGGTTTCAGTGGCACTTCCAGACTAAGACAGACTAGGAAGAAGGACAGGGCCACCCACTTCTGAAAAAAAAGAAAACGGCCACTGAAAACCTTATGAACACCAGTGAAACATTGTCTGATATATTACTTTATGGATAACAGTGAAACTTTGGCTGATACAGTGCCGAAAGATGAGCCCCTCAAAACATGGCTGGGGAGGAGCTGCCCCCTCAAAGTAGAGTCAACCATACTGATCTTGATGGAGTAATCTTCTCAGGACTTTCATTTGCTAATGTGGCACAACTCAAATTGAGAAGAAACAGCTGTAAATATTCATTAATAATCAGAATGTGGAATGTACAAAGTATGAATCTAAGAAATTGGGAGTTGTCAAATATGAAATGGAACGCATAAAGGTTGCTATCTTAGGCATTAGTGAGCTGAAATGGACTGGTATTGGCCATTTTGAATCACAGAATCACACGGTCTACTGTTCCAGGAATGACAAATTAAAAAAGAGTGGTGTCACATTCGTTGTCGAAAAGAACATTTCAAGATCTATCCTGAAGTACAGTGCTCTCAGGAATTGATGGACCACCCACTGAGATGTTTCAACAAACAGTTTCAAGGCTGGACATACTAACTCGTTTATCTAAGAAATTTGGAAGACAGCTACCTGGCCATCTGACTGCAAAAGATCTATATTCGTGCCCATTTCAAAGAAGGAGGATCCTAAAGAATATGGAAATTATCAAACCATATCACTAATATCACACACAAGTAAAATTTTGTTGAAGACAATTCAAAAATGTTCCAGCAGTACATTGACAGGGAATTTCCAGAAAATTCAATTCGGAAGAGGGCATGGAATGAGGGATATCATTGCAGCTGTCAGATCGATCTTGCCTGAAAGCACAGAATACCAGAAATATGCTTACCTGTTCTTTGACTGTACAAAGGCATTTCACTGTGTGGGTCATAACAAATCATGGATAACATTGCAAAGAATGGAAATTGCAGAACACTTCCTTGTGTTCATGAGGAATCTGGACATAGAGCAAGAAACAGTCATTCCAACAGAACAAAAGGATACTGCATGGTTTAAAATAAGGAAGGTGTGAGTCAGGGTTTTATCCTTTCACCACACTTACTAATCTTCTGTTGCTAATATCTCCTTACCATCAGTCTCATCCTAGTCTTCATCAGGTGCTCCCTGGTTAGTTCTGACTCATAGCAACCCCACTGTCAACAGAACAAAACACTGTCCAGTGCTGTGCCATCCTCACAATCACTCGCTGTGTTTGAGCCCACTGGTGCAGCCACTGCAGCGATCCATCTTGTGGAGGGTCTTCCTCTTTGGCTGACCCTTTCCTTTACCAAGCATGGTGTCTTTACCCAGGGACTGATAGATAACTTTGGTTATAAGTTAGCCTGATGTCCAAAGTATGTGAGACGAAGTCTGCTATCCTCGCATCTAAGGAACATTCTGGCTGTACTTCTTGCAAGATAGATTTGTTAGTTCTTCTGGTAGTCCATAGTATATGAAATATTCTTTGACAACACCAAAATTCAAAGGCATCGATTCTTCAGTCTTTCTTATTCATTGTCCAGCTTTCACTGAAAAGTCCATGGCTTGTATCAAGTGCCCCTTACTCCTCAAAGTGACATCTTTGCTTTTTAACCCTTTAAAGTGGTCTTTCACAGCATATTTTTCCAATGCAATATATCGCTTGATTTCTTGTTTGCTGCTAATATGGGCGTTGATTGTGGATCCAAATAAAATAACCATTCCCACAAACATTATTTTTTGAAAGAGAATTCTACTCTGCCAGTTACTAGGGACGTATAGATGATTGAGACAAGGTTCCATTCATGGAAAACAGAAAGAAGCTTAAGGTCCCACTTTTGGTTTAATTTCCTACAGCCATTCTTACTTCTAGGTAGAAATGGATGTGGTGGGAGCAAGGAGTTCATTATTTTAACTCTTGATAATAGGTTATTATATATATTGTTTCCCTGATAAAAACTGTAATGCCTTAATCCTTTAAACTGAACTTCTTAGGTTTTGAAGAAATAACACCAAGAGTATGGAATTCAGGAACAGTGGCAGATTGATGAAAAAAAAGTCTTTTTGGTCAAATGAACCATTTACTATACAAATCACACTTTATGAGATTTGAGCTAGATCATTGTTGCCTACAGCGTGGGAAGCCTTAATATGCCCAAACATTCCATCTCTAAAGTGAGGGTTTTAATTTCTATCCTCTCAACCTCACACAGGAATAGAAAAAAACAAACCTTTGCAATAAAACTTTATGAAGTGTAACGTGTTGTATTCACACTAATATAATATGTATGAGACTCAGTCTATGAAATCTAGTCTGAAAGAAATATCTGACTTTAAAATTTTCTTTAAATTCTTTCCACTGGACTCTGAGTCTCTGAGTTTTGTGACTCTCCTGTTTCCTTGTTAAACCGAAGGTCCTAGAATCAGGAGAAGGTGCAGCTTTCTGAGACTCAGGGCCTGTTTTCCTGGCCAAGCCAAGAAAGCTTTCATTTTCACAGTTTTCCGTGGGAGTTCTTGTAGCATAAAATGGCTAAGGCACTTGACGGCTAACCAGAAGGCTGGCGGTTCAAACCCACCAGCCACTCCTCAGAAGGAAGGTTGGGCAATCTACTTCTATAGAGATACCGCCTCAGAAACCCAAGGAGGGGTCAGTATGAGTCGGGTCCAACTCGACGGCACATAACAACAACACCATAGAGCATGCTGCAGGCCCACCTACGCCCAGGCACTGCTGACTTTTACCTTCTTTCTAGCATCCAGGAGTCTTCCCAACCCTTGACCTGGAAAGTGCCCCTTCCCTCCCACCTTTCAGATCTCCCATATCTTTTTCACAGTTCACTTCCTTCCACTAGATTGAGAAGTAAGATGGAAGGAATAAGGTTCTTTGGAAATAAACCCAGCCAAATATCAATTTCTCTCTTTTTCACCTTATCTCTTGGCTTAGAACCAAAGTTATAAAGTGTTCCTTTAAAACTTATTTTCAATTTTTCATATATTTTATTTTTATTGGAACATAAATAAATGTTGAATAATTAGTAATAAATAAAGAAATGAAGATAATCTGTGAAGGAAAGAACACGCCCTCCAGCTCATTCATTCTATCTTGTTGTGTTAGAAGGCTGGTTCAGTTTCAAATTTCAATCAAAATGATTTGTTTTCTCTTTTAAAGATTTCATCTTGTTTTCTTCCTAAATATGGATGCCAAATGTTGAAGTATCTTATTTCATTGTACTCTCAAAGACTCTCTCCTTTAAACATATTAACCATATTGATTTCAAATTAATGCTGAATAATCTAAATACCTGTAGTTTTATAGGAGCTCTGGTAGCACAGTGCCTAAAGCACTTGACTGCTAACCAGAAGGCTGGCAGTTCAAACCCACCAGCCACTCCTCAGAAGGAAGATGGGGCAATCTACTTCTGTAGTGATACTGCCTCAGAAACCCAAAGAGGGGTCGCTATGAGTCGGGTCCAACTCGATAGCAAACAACAACAACAACAACATAGTTTTATGGCTCTGATTCCATAATTTGAGTTATTGATAACTGTTGTTTGTAGTGCCTTGTTTGCACATCTGTTCAGTGATTTTTCATTACGAGTTCATGATCTTTTGAACTTTATCTGTGGGAATCCTTTGAATTAGCAAAACTCTGTAGCCTTGAGGCACGTCATTTCTGGACATATAATATCTACTTGTACTTCTTACTTGGAATTCTACGTGTACTTCTCAAAGCATAATCATCTTTTAGGGGTTTTTAGCTATCTGAATTCTAATTATACAAACGGATTTTTTAAGCTCTATTTAACTTAACTCAGGTTACTTGTTGATGGCAGTTAAACACAAAATTTCCAGAAAATAAAGAGAGGTAAATGTTTTTACCTCTCTCTGTCTAGTTATTCATGTGACCTGTGTAAGGTCACTTACAATTTTTACCTCCATCTTCCTCACAGGGATAATAATACCTGCCCAAATATTATTCTTACTGAGGTAAGCTTGTTGCCTTCTTTATAAGCCTCTTGAAGGCTGATTTGATCTCCTTGTTCCTCAGACTATAGATCAGAGGGTTTAACATGGGGATTATGAGGGCATAAAAGACTGATAGCACCTTGTTTTGCTTCATGGAGTGACCAGATGTGGGACACATGTACACAGAGAGGGCGGTGCCATAGAAGAGTGTCACAGATGCCAGGTGGGCTGCACAGGTATTGAAGGCCTTGGCACTACCTCTGCCCGAGGATATCTTCAGGATGGAAGCAGCAATGAAACCATAGGATAAGACAATAACAAGCAAAGACCCAAAGCCAACAAAAATAGCCACCAGAAGAAGAGACGTTTGGCAGATGAAGGGATCGGAGCAAGACAAGGTAATGATCTGAGGCACGTCACAGAAGAAATGTTGAATGATGTTTGGCCCACAGTAGTAAAGATGAAAGCAAGAGACTGCTTCAAATAAACTGCTAAGGAAACCACTCATATAGGCCCCAGCAACCATCTTCCTACAGAGGCCAGGAGCCATGATGGCTGAGTACTGCAGAGGCCTGCCAATGGCAACGTATCGGTCGTAGGCCATGGTGGCCAAGAGGCAGCACTCAGTCAGAGCCATCCAGGCCCCAACAAAATACTGAGTGGCACAGGCAATGAAAGGAATTGTTTTTTCACTTTTTAGGAAGTCTGAAAGCATCTTTGGGCTAATTGAAGAAGAATAGCAGATGTCTATAAATGACAGGAAACTGAGAAAAAAGTACATGGGTGTGTGCAGGTGGAAGTCCATCCTGATTAAGAGGATGAGATCCAGGTTCCAGACAAAGGTCACAATGTAGATTCCTAGGAATATTGGAAAGAGGATGAGCTGTAGCTCTTTTTCATCTGAGAGACCCAGGAGGACAAACGTAGTCACAGAGGAGTGGTTTCCACTCTGTTCCATGGACCTGCTTGCTTCCATCTGCTGAAGAAAGGATAAGAGAAGGAAATGGTTTTATTCTTAAAACAGAGAAAAAAAAACGACTCAACACTTTTTTTTCAGTCTTGCATCTGGCTAATTTTACAACATTTAATTACTGACATTGAGTTAATACAATCACATTCCATATACAATCATCAGCCTTATCTGAAAAATCCTCTTGGATATATATTATCATTCTTTCTTTGGGGACAAAAGGCCTTCAAAAGCTATCATTAGTTATTTTCTCCTAAAATGTCTTCATTGCATATTTTCCCATACCACTTTTGCAAATATGTGAGACTTTGGAGACAGGTCAAATTAGGAAAATTGTGTCTTTTCTTTCTATAGTGAAACAAAAAGATTCTACTTGAATATTGCTCTGCTGTTAACTCAATAGGAGCTCAGGTGGCATAGTGCCTAAGGCATTTGACTGCTGACCAGAAGGCTGGCAGTTCAAACCCACCAGCCACTTCCCAGAAAGAAGGTTGGGCAATCTACTTCTGCACTGATACCCCCTCGGAAACCCAAGGAGGGGTCGCTATGAGTTGGATCTGACTCCACAGCAGTGGTTGCGTTCTTTGTTATTAACTCAATGATTGGAGAAACTCTTGAATATGCACAAGGAACCTAGAGTAGGTGCTACTTAATATCTCCTTGAGAGCTAGACTTTAATTAATCTCTAATGAAAGACTGGATAATTCTATAGTAGCCTCTCTGCTTCTATGACACATGCAGAGATTTAAGAATCACGTAGCAGGAAGGTGAAAAGAGAGTCACTCAGAAGAAACAGCAGCTTGAAAATGGATGTGACATAATGAAAACGGTGATTCTAATAAGGCTCTTGAGAAATGAAGCAATACAAGATTCAGAGAGCTCTGAAACTCCCTTTCTTGCTGGTACAGATTCTTCTTTCCTCAAATCAGAAATGCTTAAGAGTCTGATTGTCTAGGACAGTAATTATTGATCTTCTATGTGTCCTTTTGAAATTCTGTGGAAAGTCAAGTTTCTCTGCCCAACAAAATACAGCTACTTACCACCTGTACATAGAGTGGTTTTGGACTTTCAGTCACCCTGAAGTCTTATTTGTGGTTCCCAGGTTAGAGACTTCTACTGGGAAGACTGACTCAACTGTTATAAGATTCATGCTTAAATAATAGCCATGGATTCGGAAGCTTGGGCAGGATTTAGGGAGTTTTGTTTTGTTTAGGTTTTCTTTCCTTCACATGGGACTCTGTCTAGAGAAACAAAGTAGTAAGTCTTCAAACAAACAGTAACTAACCAAAGGAGTATTTTTGCCTCAGGAACTATATACGCCCTTCAAGATGTTATAGCTGTAATTTTCTCTAGGGTATTATTAAAACCTCTCCCAAGAAAAGCATATTTTTCTTCAGCTGAGCTCAAATTAGTGAAAAAATAATGAAATACTTGAAACGTAGGAAGCAACGGCCAAATGAAGCCTGGGAGCTGTGTATAAGGGTAGAAAGTAGGCAACGTGGAGATTTTGTGGAGAAAGACTAGGTATTAAGGGAATAAAATATTTCTATGAAGTACAAATATTTGCTAGCATTAGCTACTCGAAACACTTTCCTTCTCTCTGACCATCGCCCGTCACCTTGTTTCAAAAATGAAGAAAAAGAGACAATCCCCTTGAAAGCATAAGGTCATGCGTAGGAAAGTAAGGTCAAAGGTCATCCCTAGGAAAGCAAGGTCAAAAGGCTCAGTTTCCTAAATCAGATCAGTTGTTCCTGCCTGGTACCCCTTTTGCAGAAAGATTCTGACGTGGTGGAGGAATTAATTAGCAAAGAAAGTCAAGATGTCTGATATTAGCATGTCAGGGGAGAGTGGTAACAGATAGCCAATGCATTTACCATCCAGACTCGGGAGCTGTCCCTCCATAAAGAGACCGAATGGAGGCAAAATCTTGTGGGAAGAGAACAGAAGATCATGTGCATCATCATTATTAATATCATCGTCATCATCACTAACAATCAAGACAACAAAGAGAGGCACTGAGCATCTGTGATCCATACTTCTGCTCTCCTTGTGAGCATGAAGACCAGCACAGCTTCCTCTAATGTTCATTCTTAATATTGCTTCTCTCTTATTTTTTTCTCTTCTATATCTCTCTCTGGAATCCCAACTGGACGCCTATTGGACCCTCTCATTATATTCTCCATATCTCTGAAATATCCATTTATTTGTACTTCTATACTATGTTCCGTTCCAGTTTTACAAATATGCCCTCCAGCTCATTCATTCTATCTTAAGTTGTGTTAGAAGGCTGGTTAACCCATTCACTGATTTCAAATTTCAATCAAAATTATTTGTTTTCTCTTTAGAAGGCTTCATCTTGTTTTATTTCCTAAATATGTGTGCCAAATGTTAAAGTATCCTATTTCATTGTACTCTCAAAAACTCTCTCCTTTAAACATATTAACCATATTGATTTAAAATTAATGTTGAATAATCTAAATACCTATAGTTTTGTAGCTCTGATTCCATAATTTGAGTTATTGCTAACTGTTGTTGTAGGGCCTGGTTTACATGTCTGTTCAGTGATTTTTCATCACGAGTTCATGATCATTGGAACTTTATTGTGGGAATCCTTTGAATTAGCAAAACTCTGTAGCTTTGAGGCATTCAAGAGGGGGCTGTCCATAAAGGGTTAGTCCAAATCACTCCAAGTAAGTAGTGGTGGGAGATAGAAAAGTCATGTATATTCTCAGGGTGTTCTAGGAAGTGTGTGATGAAAACGAAATGTTCTTGGAGAGAACTTTGTACAAGGATGGTCTTCTGGAAGAAGGTAAGAAACTGATAGGAAGAAAGAGCTGTTTCTGGAACATCCATTAGTCACGTCTAACTCTGTGTACAAAAGCTCAGCTTCGTTTCCCGAGCGCAAGCTGTACTTTCACTCTTGTGCTCTCCAGCTCAAGTTGCTTTTCTTCAATAAACCTCCTGTTCTTCAAGCCCAAACAAAATGCAAAAGTTTCTTCTTTGACACATAGAAACTTTCGTTTAAAATATATTCCTTTACAAATGATTTAGATTATTTCTCTCTGGTACTTTAATAGTCATACTGGTCCAGAATACCTTTGAACACAATTTTTTACTTGCAATATTTTGGGGTCTCAACAGTGGTTAGACCTCCTATCTACATGAATACAAATATGGAGTGAGGAATTAGCAATGGATTTTTTTTCTTTTTCTTTTTTTTCTGCTCTTCCTAACCTAAGGCTGAGAATGGTGTGCACATCACTGTCTCACTCTGTGGGGTAGGTGTTTTTCTAGTTCATCTCTGAGAGTCTCATCCTTTGGGAGCCCTACTCTCTGTGGAATGGAATATTTTCTCCAATCAAACCTCACACATGGCTTTTCTCCCCTCCCTTTAAAACACACGCCATTAAATCTCAGTCCTGACACTCTCAAGGTGTAATACAGTCCTACTGGGAAAATGCTGACCCAACTCATACCTCCCCAGATGAGTGTTTTCTTGTCTTTTCTGTACTTTGAAGATATTATTTGGTTTCTCACTGGTTGAGCCATGAAGAAAAAAAAACAATGTGTTACAGATGTTGTCTTCTCAGCGGTTTGTCCAAACATATAGTCCAATGAGTTTATAAACAATATCTCTATGAAAATCTTGATCACCCCAGTTTATTCCTGGCCACTTAAAAAAAAAAGCTTGTTAAATTTGCTTATTATTTTTTATTCCAAATATGATTGAATTTATTTTAAAATCAAGGTATGAGGTATCTAACATTAATGAGAGCTTGTTAAGTTCCGAGTGTTTGTCTGAATCCTTCGGTGTTTTATGGCATTTTAGTTTATCCCTACATGACGTGTATACATACTGCTTCTATTTTATGGATAAAGTGACTGTGTAGCTTACGGTGGTAATCAGGCACAGGTCACGCAGCAGAACTGGGATTTGGGTCCAGGCAGTCTAGCCCCAGAGCCACACCTTTAACAAGTCCAGCCCAGTGTCTCTCAGAAGTGTAACAATGGCTTCATTAACCTTATTTCTAAACAATTCTCAAGTCTGAAGCACTGCATTTTATGGCTTGGAGGATGCAAAGGAGGTAGTAAGTGGTGGAAAGCCCAAGAATAGAGTTGAGAGATGTGTGCATAAAGACATAATGAAAGGAAAGGGATGGTTTGTGGCATAAGACACAGAGAGAGAGAGCACGTCCTGTGGGTAACCACAGACTAGATGTGGTCCGGAAGTCATGGATCGAGGATGGCCCTTGCATTTTCTCTGTAAGAATTTCTCACAGAAAGTCTCTAGAATCTTAGAGCCTATTTCAGAGACATTGTTGTACAAATAGAGCAACCACAGCATACAGGAGAACACTGCTGATAATACAATCATCTTGTCCTTTCACAGATACCCTTTCAGCAAATGAACAAAAAAGCAGTAACACTCACAGATTGCCAAGGAAATGAGACAAACAGGAGAATTTAGTCTCTCCAGGGAAGAAGAAATGAAAAGATATTGAAGTGTTTGTAATGTGTAAATAACTGAGGGCAGAGAAAGCTCAACCTTGGGATAGTAACTACGGCAAAGCCTGTGTCCAAAGATGCCTAAGATTAAAATTACCACAGCACAGCAAACCTTACGATAGGCAGAGAATCGTGTTAAACCAGTGACATTACTGTTAATCTCAGAGACAACTTTTCATTGTTGGATCATTTTTCTCTGCCACTCTAGTGTCTATAACTCTAATGAAACATTACTTTTTGTTGTGTCTTATTTATCAGTGACTCCTTAGCTATCTTTTTGTTTTTGGATAGGCTATCTTGGGACAAATTTGTCTTGCCCCTCTTATTTCAGCTTTTTTTCACACCATTCTTGGTATAATACATTCCCCATCTCCACACTTATCTCCATTTTCCCCTTCTTAGCAAATTAAAAATAAGGGAGTGGAAAGAGATCATTAAAAAGTAGCCCCTTGGGTGGATAGGCTGAACCATCATGTATGTCT